CAGCTACTGATTTTTGGTGGGTTTTGACTAAGCCATAAGGAAAAAAACACAGATTTTTTTTTTTGGATTCCAGTAATAGAAAAAAAACCCAACATAATGGGAAATTAATAGGTGATTTACTACAAAAGTAATTACAGCTGACCGCTTTGTGCTCCTGAAGGATTTCAGGAGAGCAACTTATCATTCCTGCCAATTTTGGAGTGCCTGTCATCTTCCATGGAGAGGCAAACATTTGAAGTGGGTGAAAAGAAAGGACGAAGTAAATAGAATTTCTGAAGGGCATAACTGTTTCATAACCATGAGTCAGTTTTTCATGTAGGACATAAAAATTGATGTCAAGTGGAGAATAATGAAATATTTCTTAAGCTGTTGGCTGCATCCTCTACCACTGCTAATTAATGCAGAGATTTTTCAATAAAACTCTAGCAACTTGAGAAAGCTCAGGGTGTACTACATTCTATTGTTCCACATTGTGATTAGGAATCACAGTGTGACAATAAGGACTGTGTATCTGTAATAAATATATACAAATAGGACATCCACAACACAGAGCTTGTGAAAACTTCAGACAAGTGTCAATTCAAAGAAGTTTTAATTCAAACCAGATATTTAAAGTTTGTATCTTTATGGTGGTGTGATGTCATCTGTCTGAATAAATCTAGAGTTGCATCTCATTTAATAAGATTATATGGTCAGAGCAGAAGCAATTTGCTTGAACATTTCTTGGCTGAATGGTTTCAAAAGCATCTTTTGACACTAATTTGTTGAACGTATGATTGTGAACAACATAAAAACAAATTAAAAGTTTTAAGTGCTTGGGTTAGATTCTCAGCTAGTAAAAAGCAAAGGTGGTCCATTAATTCAGCAGAGCTTTGCTTATTTCTATCTACTGAAGACTTGGCTCTTTATGCTTAATGTGACTATACATATGCTTGGGCATAGTTCTACTCAGCAGACAATTTGTTCTAGTACTCTGCATCCTTCAGCCCCACAGTGCCAGCTGAAATGGGAACATTTGTTAGCTCCAGAAGTTGCAGAATTAGCTCCTGTGTCCTTGTCATTAAAATAATTGGGGAAACCACTGGAGGCTCTGTTCTGCCAGACATGGGGAATTTGATAGACACAAATGTACGTGGCTTTTACATGTATAAACTGGTGTGTGGTATGGTGTAATTTACAGCAACAGGTAAGTATTAGGCATTCATGTACACTCATTACACAGGGAAAAGTCACCAATCTTTAAAATTAAACCCTGCCACTGTCCAGCCTAATGTCTGCAGGTGCTCTCTACAAGCTTGGTCCTGTTTCTTCCAATCTAACACACACTCTCCAGTCTCCCAGTTTCCTGCACAGGGACTTCTCAGACTATGTATATTTTAGGAAGAAATTCTCCCCTGTGAGGGTGGTGAGATGCTGGTACAGGTTGTCCAGAGAACCTGTGGCTGTCTCATCCCTGCAAGTGTTCAAGGTCAGGCTGCATGGGGCTTGGAGCAGCCTGGGATAGCAGGTGTCCCTGCTCATAGCAGGGGGTGGAATGGGATGGGCTTTGAGGTTCCTTCCAACCACAACCATTCTGACACTTCATCCTTTTCACTACTCCCTTCATCCTTTTCACTAAATACCTGCTGTGTCCACATGATCTGCACAAACTGCTGCTTTTCCCAGCTCCCTACTCCTGTTCTGCTCTTCCCCATCTGCTCTCCTGCAGTATTACACTGCCCTGGACAGCAACAAGGAATGTGCAGGTTATTCCCCTTTTGGCTCCATTCCCCTTTCCTCTGCACTAAGGGCAGGAAAAATTATGAAAAATTAACACAAAAATTAGAGAAAAGATTCAGTTAGTGAAAAAAGACCTGCCTGCCCAAACTTGCCCTGTGATTTTAGTTCAACAGAGCAATATAGAGGGATGGCATTCAAATCCTGCTCTTGTTTGTCACATGCTGGGTTTCTTGAGCTTGTGTTTAGAGGTTTTTGGGTGGTTGGGAGTTTGTTTTCAAAGCACAGCACCAAGCCTGGCACCCTACCCCATATTCTGGTTACCACTGCATGGGCACAATACAGATGGATACCACAGTGGGTCAAATGTGTGACCAACTCAGAGGCAAATTTAAAGTGAATTTAGAGAAATATTCCTGCATCTAATCAAATCTCAGATTGAGGGGTTTTTTAATTAAAAAATTATTTTTAGTCAAAAAGGGTATTATTTGCACACCAGTTACAGGAACAAAACAGTTCTGCACCCATTTCCATTTCAATTGAGAAGAAAAACAGTCTCCAAACATCACTGAGAGGTAGCTGCCAGCTGCAGTCAGGGAAGCATCTCTCCTCCATACCATAGCAATTAAAAGATCATGTAATTACTGCTGATCTCATGCCATGGAAGTCAAAGGAAAACCATTCATTGACTGTAATGGGCTTTGGAGCAGGTTCAAAATTTCTCCAGCATTTGTAATCCTGACACTTTGGAAACCAAAACCTCACAGTTTAACTACACTCATCCACAAATAAAAAAAAGTGTTTTCATGCTTAACAACAATCAAGGGTTTGTTCCTTTTGAAAGAAAAGTGTATGATTTAAATCTAAAGGATTCAAACCTTTTGTCCCAAAATAAAGAAAAATTCTGAAATGTCTAAACCAGGATTGCCCCTCCTTTCACCAAAAGCTCTTTTTTTAATCATCTTGGATCATCCATAAGCCTGGGGATAATAAAAGCAGATACAGAGTAAGTCTGCTGAGCTCTCACATTTGTAGGTGTTTCTTTTGAGATATTTTTTAGTTTTTCAGCTTTTTAAGAGAAAGCCAAAATTTCTACCAAGGGAACAGAACAAGGATAAACCCCCAACTCCCCATCACCTCATTTCCTCAGGTAAAAACCATTATCTGCAAAAATTACCATTTTTAGGGGGAAAATGGCCTCATCAAAATCACCTCATACCATATCACAAGATTTAGAAGAAATCCTTTTGTGTGCATAATAAACATTCTGACCTTCCTGTTATTTTTTTCCTGACACCAAATGATATCTGCTCTGTGCACATTTTAATACTGAACAGGTTTCTGAAGGAGCCTTTAGTTGAATTATTTTTTAGGCACTATTGAGGAATAACTCCAGAGAGGAAGATACTTAAACATTGCTGAAAATCCCCAGGTAGCTCTGCAAATCCACAGGCTTTTGTTATCAAGAGGCATTTACCATGTTAGCATTTTCTTGACTTCTGAGGAGTTTGCAGTTCTTCAGACAGACTTGATAATCCCCATATTGCCTTGCTGGGCATAAGCCAAATTTATCTATACATCTTAACTCCCTCAGTTGCCATCCCCTTCACTCCAGCCATGGATCTAAGAAGCTTCTAACAGAAGTCCATTATATTGAATTCACTTCTGAAAAAAAATTATGGTTTTACTCCTCAAAATAAAAGTTAAGTCTTACCTGTGCTCTGAAAGCAATGAGAAATCAGCCTCACTCAGCCTGGAAATTTTGTGTCTTGAGGCACTGATCTCCAAATTCAGTTATTGCTCTGAAGTAGCATTCTTCAAGCACACAATCTGTAAACTCAATCCTGATTTCAAAAATTGCTGTCTTTAAGCTCTCATATGTAATGGTTACTTTCAGTGTGAAGAAAGTTTTGGAAGTAGAACTCACATCTGAAAAAGGACTAGAGGTGCATCCACAAGACTGGATCCAGGCTCTGTGCCTATAATGAACTGCACCACAAACTGTAGCCAGGGCATGACTGAAATGTGTCCACAGACACAACACCAAGAAGTTTTCTGCATCCCAAAAAAGCCTTAACCCACCCAAGAGCCCTTCTCAGTCTGAGACTGAGGGAAGTACAACAGAACTGGATTTCTTCATGAAGAGTGACAGAAGTTTGATCAAACACACACATGCACTGGACATCTAAACCAAATAGATTTCACCTTTAGCAATAGCTGTATTTTTAATTAATTCGTGCCTCTCTGCTGCCTCAGCTTCACAGAAGAAAACAACCACAAAAACATAACCACCAGAAAAAAAAAAAAAAAAAGGAGATTATTTGCCCAAATGACAAAGTACCCTTGGACCTGACCTTCTTTGCTTATGCAGTAAAACCTTGGTAGTTACAACCTCTTCCTAACATATGGGATGCCTGAAACAATTCAAGAAGCTGCTGGAAGGGAAGAGGGAATGCATTAATCCATTAAACAGGAGAGTGCCACCTGCTTCACTTTCTACCAAGACAGATGAGGAAAGCAACTGCCTGATCCAGAAAACATCTGCTGAACAAAATCAAAATTAATGATGACCAGAATGAGCTCTTTGATGGCCAATTCTCCCCCAGCTGCCAGGAGCCATCAAAGAGCCAGTGCTGGCAGAAGCCAGTTAGTTTCTGAGGCAGCAGAGTCCCCGGGAGCAGGAGCTGAGCTCAGAGCACCTTCGGCTGGAGCTGTGCTGTGCGGAGGCACAGAAAGCCTCGTCTGCACCTCCTTCTGCCTCAAATTCTCCAGGTTTTGAGTTTATCACAGAATCTTTTGGATAGGAAAAGTCCTTTAAATTCATCCAGTTCCAACCCCCTGCCATGCCTTCCACCACCCCAGGGTGCTCCAAGCCCCATCCTGGCCTTGGACACGTCCAGGGATGGGGCAGCCACAGCTGCTCTGGGCAGCCTGTGCCAGGGCCTCACCACCTTCACAGGCAAGAATTTCTTCCTAATATCTAATCAAAATTACCTTCCTTCAGCTTAAAGCCATTTAGATGCCTGGTCAGCACCCAAACCTTGACATGCACACCCAACACCATCATGAAATTCTGTGCTAAAAGAGCAGCTTTTCATTGGAAAAAAAAAAAAAATTCTACAATTTGCAACACTAAGAACTGTCAGACAAGCACCAGGCACAGACTGTTGGGAAACCCACAGCAGCACAACCTTTCAAGTGTGTGAACTCATGCTTGTTTTAAAAAGTTACTTCAAGAATACTCAACACCAACACACACACTGAAAGAAAACCAGTTTTCCTACCTTTTCTTCTTGTAACTTCAAACCTTCTGGAGTCCTATAAGGAAAAAGAGAATTTTTTGTGGTGTTTTTTATTAAATGCAAAAATTATTCAAAGGCAGGATGAACACCCCCCCTAAAAACATGAGTTACTGACCCAAGGAAGCATCTATGGAGCTCAATACAATAACTGAGGAGCAATTACAAGCACACATTTCAGTTTGTCCACAGATATTTAACGGATAAATATAACACCTAAAATGACTCATCACTGTGTGATAAATTACATTGTAAAGCACAACATTTGTCTTGAAAATTGATTTTTTTCCTCCATTTATGTTAAAAGGGAGCAGTTAGGAGGGTTATTATTACTACACCAAAGATTTGGGGTTGAGGAGGGAGGAGCCATTAGATATTTTTAGCAGAGACTTCTTCAAATATCTGAATAATTTCAAAGCCACTGGACTACTCATGCTGAAAGTTGAGTGCTCATTTCAATCCATGCACACCTACATAATATTTTTGCATATCAATTTTTTTGCATAATATTTTTTTGCAAATCATCACAACCACCTCTAATACAGAAACTTGTTTTAAAACAGCACTGTTTCAAAAGGTATTGCATTCCCAGGCAACACTATCTGCTTATACTAATGGAGAGACTTCAGAGGAATAAATATTTAATTCCATGCAGTAACACTATTTATGGGTTAATTACAAACACATCTAAATTTCCACGGTTGGAGTTATTTCTTGTAGCCAGTATTAGCACTAGTGGAATTGTGAAGACCACCTGGAGGCAGGCTGGGAGAGGTGGGGCTGTCCAGCCTGGAGGAGAGAAGGCTCTGGGCACCACTCGCTGCTGTGCTGCAGGCGCCCATGGACGGCCACAGAAATGCCTCTTGCTGCCTCCTGCCCCCTCCCAGAACCTTCTGCAAAGTCCCAGGGCAGGACAGAGCCAGAGCTGAGGTCTCCTCCAGCCCAGGGGCCACCTCACATCACCCATGTGCTGCCCAAACACGGTGACAGTTTATACTGTCCTTTGTCATCCCTCGTGCAGGCAGCAAATCCTGATTTTCCTTCCTTCACACAGCCAAAGCTGCCTTTCTCAAAACAAAGCTCCTACCACATCAGAGAAGGATCAGAATACAAGAAATGGTCTCCTTGGCACCCTTCAAGTCAGCTGAAGGGGATAATAATAAAAAAAAAAAAGGTATTTGCTTATAAAAATACTGTCATTATTCCCTGTAGGATACCACCTCAGTGATCTTGAGCAATATATAAAATGGCATTCAGGATTAATACAGACTTCAAAGCATTTATCCTCTTTATGTAGCAGAGCTCTGAGCTGTGCAGGCAGTTATACTCCAGGGACCTCTCTCAGCTTTTCAAAATATTAGTTTGAGAGGTGGGGCATGGGATAAAAAACTCAGCTACAGCTGCTATCATTAGGCCTGTGTACATGCAATATATGCAAAAGGGAAGAATACTTTTAAAGTTCCCCAGAGTCCCTCACACTAACAAGCTGTTTGAATTCTCTGCAGTTCAAAAGCTTAGAAATACTAAAACTAATTACAACTATTATATTGATCAAAAGGAAATAGACTATCAAGGCTCTATTAAACAAACATCCAAGTCTCATCTCACTTTTATGAAATGCCCTTTTGTTATTTCCATGTCTGCACAGACATCATGAAAGACAAAGGATGGTCTTCAAAGTTCCCCTTCTTTTATTCTGTTCTTCTTAAAATTGTAAGCTCTGATGAATATAAACTATCCAAAAAAACAGATGCAGGGTTCAGAAGAACAGCTTGTTAGAACTGCAGTGGGAGAACACGAGGTCAGGCTTCAAGCCATCACTTCTTGTTCCTGGGAAAACAGCAGTGTTTGGTGTGTCCCCCAAAACATCCCTTCCCCAGAGAAACCTCCAATGACACTGAGAATGGTCAAGATTTCAGGATACAAAAAAATGGAAAAATGCCTGGCAGCCACAGCAGGGTTTAAAGTACAGTACAAAAAGGTAGCAGCTCCAGGTAGACTTCCCTTGAAGATGATACTGATCTCCAGTTAAAAAAAAAAATCACACAGAGGTTTCGGAGGTTTTAATAGCATTACCAGTAGAGAACCAAACTATTTTGATAAAAATGACACCAAAGTTCTTGAATGCATTGCCTGAGGAATACTTTTTCTGCAGAAGCCATAAAGCAGATGGTTATAAATGAGACTTATTTCATGGGCACCATTTAATGACTGCAAATTCCTTTAACTAAAAATCTAATTTTATCAGAGCATAAATCATCTGCTTTGAAGGGAAAAAACTGTTTTGGATTTTCCATTCCTTCTAAAAAGCTTCTTCATGTACCGCTTTAAATAGCATTTCATTAGTGCAATACAACAGTTTTATTTGTCAAAGTTCACTTTTAGCACCTATTTCCTACTTTTTAATGTTAGTCAATTGAGTACAGAATGAAAGGTCCTTCTGTTCTGTGTCTGAAGTGCCTAATCACTATGTGGAAATCAATGCAGTATGTTTGCTTCGGGATTGCCTTTCACCAGACATGTAGCTAAAGAAAAACTGCATCTCCAAAGGACCAGATTCATCAAGTATGACAGATATTTCTACCTGGATTAGGAGGGGTGAAAATCAAAATCAAATAGAGTTCAGTCCCTGCTGTCACACTGTTTCACTCCCCTGTAGCTGCAGCGTGTTGTACCAATGCCATTTGCTTTTATTTGTTGTACCAATACCATGTTGATCCTGATGCCATTTAACAACTGGTTTGCACAAAGCCCTTTTCTGCTCTTAGAAAAGGAATAAGAGCTAGTTTATGTTATATCTCCTAATTAATGATGAGTCATGGGTCCATGGATGAGCAGAGCAGTAGTGATAAATCAGATTTCATTCACAACAAACACAGAGCATTGGGAACTCCATTGTGCAGAGTTAAAACACAACAACACAGAGGGAAAACACAACATAAAACAGTGCTTGGTAGCCAGCATGGCACAAACAGGCTTTCCAGTGGTCATTAGCAATGTATGCAAGCAGCAAAACCACTTTGGGGCTGTTCTGTGTAGAATCACAGAATGGTTTGGGTTGGGAGGAGCAATAAAGCTCATCTTGCTCCAAACCCCCGGCTACAGGCAGGGACACCTTCCACTAGGTCTGTTCAACCTGGCCTTGAACACTTCCCAGGATGAATTCAGTATTAAGAGATTTTCACATGGCTGTGCATTTCCCATCCCTGTTTGTTACTGGCCTCCGATCCCAGCAGGGAATGATCCTGAGCATGGACCACCAATGCAGATACCAAAGAGATACCAACTGCCTCAAGCACAATAATCCATCAGGTAACCTAGCAATGGTTTCAGTCTCTTGCCCTTTAATACTGATTTAGATTCAGTAAAAAGGCACCCCTTTTTATAACCAAAATTTAATATAGGGGACTTGGCAAAAAAAACCCCAAAACTTACAAAAAAATAAATCAAAGAAAAAAAAACCCCACAACCAGCAGCAATAAACAATAAAGCAATTAATGCAGCAGAAGAAGAGAGGCAAAAGAACAGGTAACACTCCAAATCCACAAGTTCCCTGCATTGCTGGCCTTACCAGACCCTTTGTGGGAGACAAGGCAGTGCAAGCAGATAAATCAAACACAGTCCCTGCAGCTGGGCTCATGCTGGGTCTCACAATAAATCAGATGTTACCTCTGCACACTCCAGGTCTCCAGGGACCTGCTCTCAGGATCAGCCTAACTGCTGTACAATTTCTAAATATACAGTCCTAACTCATTTAGCAAATTAATAAAGAAGTGGCTGATCCTATTAATAGATTACCATGCCATGGATTTTTTTTCCTCCCTTCAGAGCCTTCTCCTCTTTATCTCCAGTGAGGGGTCATGCAAACAAGATAGATTTAGATTAGATATTAGGAATAAATTCCTCCCTGTGAGGGTGGGGAGGCCCTGGCACAGGGAGCCCAGAGAAGCTGTGGCTGCCCCATCCCTGGCAGTGTTTAAGATCAGGATGCAAGGGGCTTGGAGCAACCTGGGATAGTGAAAGGTGTCCCTGCCCATGGCAGGGGGGTAGAATTAGGTAAGTTTTGACCCAAGCCCAAATCATTCTATGAAATGACACTCAGTACAGGGTTGGTGGGACTCTGCATGGGGCCTGGAGTATCAGCACAGTACATGACTAATACACAGCTTAGTTTGACAATCAGGATTTTCTCCCTTTTTTTTTTTTTTGTTTTTTTGATCAGGCATGAGGAAAAAATAGCCCACATGCTACTGTTTGGAGAAAGCTTGCTATCAGTATGGACACTGGCAGTTCAGATTTGTACTGTCTGGTGTGAACACAGAGGAACTCTGATGTCTCACATCACACAGCATCATCTGCTCATCCATACGGTAACTAATTGAGATAATTACTGCAGCTCTGATTTTACTCACTATTAGTTCTGGACTCCAGATGAGAAACCCAGGTATAGCTCCATAAATTTCCACACTGTGATGGGGAAGCTCATGGGATGGCTGTTTTTAGAAATCCCGAATCTGTGGATATACTCTTTCTAAACTAAAAACCGAGAATTCCCCTGCTTGGTGGTCAAAAGTACTTCAAGTAAAACTGTATTCCTTTAAAAACTAATGCTACAACCTTTGTTTCAAAGGGAGAATATGCTACATTTGAGAAAAAATTGCTCAACATTTAGTCTTTTAAGGCTGAGTGGCTTCTGAACAGAATATCAGAAAGTTTAACCCTCTGTCATGTCATAACCAAGTTAAGATTGCCTTGATTCCTTTTATTTTTGCAACATGATTTACTCTGGTCTTATTCTCTTCTTCAGAATCATACCAGCATTTCCCCATCTCAGTACGATTTTTCACAGTTGCTCAACTGTGACATGAGAAAAACTTCCTGAAATTTGATTCCTGCAGTCAGTGAGTGCCACAGCTCAGCACAGAGCCAGGCACCACGAGCCCACATCCCTCTGCTCCCAGAGACAGCATCCAGGAGCCCAAAATCCAAGGTCATTAACATCCAAGGTACCACAAACTG